CTGTACTGCATAATTTAATGTTGTCTTCAAATCTGTTAATTAAACACCATCCCCCCCCCCTCCCACACTTACAGGTTCACGAAAATATTGTCAGTATACACCCCGCTTGGACTGTACAGCATAAAGTGAGATTATATTGTATATATATATAAACAAAACTCCCTCATGGGTAATAAATACTGTCGGTCGGTCAGTCAGTCACGAAACAACGATAAATTAAACACAACCAAAATAAAAGGTTAGGTTAGGTTAAGTCAGGCAGATGTCTTAAATACAGCCAGTCAAAAAACGTTACTTATCTGCGTCATCCCCCACGAAACATAATACACTACTGAACTTCTTTTAGGCTTGAGAGTCACACGTAAAGAGCCCGATATTAGCGTCATCGGGGCCCAAAAACGTCATTATCATGGTATCACTAAACAGACAAGTTTGACCTTTTATAAATTTGACCTTTTGTGTTTACTATAGCAGTCTCTAAGATCAAGATCGTTATGAGAACTTATAGATCGGAATAAATCGACGAAAAAAAATTATGTATGGCAAGGTTAGGTTAGGTTAGGTTAGGTTAGGTTAGCAAGGGAAAATATGGTCAACTCTTTAATAGGTCGATGTAAATGTTCCGTATAACATTATAGAGCTGGATAAAGCCATATGTAGCAAGGGAGAATATGGTCAACTCTTTAATAGGTCGATGTAAATGTTCCGTATAGCATTATAGAGCTGGATAAAGCCATATATAGCAAGGGATAATATGGTCAACTCTTTAATAGGTCGATGTAAATGGTCCGTATAGCATTATAGAGCTGGATAAAGCCATATATAGCAAGGGATAATATGGTCAACTCTTTAATAGGTCGATGTAAATGGTCCGTATAGCATTATAGAGCTGGATAAAGCCATATATAGCAAGGGATAATATGGTCAACTCTTTAATAGGTCGATGTAAATGTTCCGTATAGCATTATAGAGCTGGATAAAGCCATATATAGCAAGAGATAATATGGTCAACTCTTTAATAGGTCGATGTAAATGTTCCGTATAGCAAAGAGTATAATAGCGCCATGCATAACTAATATAGTCAACTCATTAACGGATCAATGCATAGAAGTTCCGCATATAGCCAGGTGTATACTATACATATAGGTATAGCATATAACAAAGGGGATATATATATATATATATATATATATATATATATATATATATATATATATATATATATATATATATATATATATATATATATATATATATATATATATATATATATATATATATATATAACACAGTCAACTAAGCATAAAGTTGACTACTCGCAAGGTAATGGCGCCGAGCATAAATAATTGCTCCTTTTGCTGCTGGCCAATATATGCCGGTAACCCACCACTTGGCGCCACTAGTGTACACGCGCCAACACTCACTAAAATCATGATACACTTTTCCAGTCTACTTTATACCGTTCACGACCCCTCCACACGCGACGCTGAGCCCGGACACGCATGTACACGTGGTGGTCCATCCGGGGAGGTGGTGGTTGAGGGGGTATACACAGGGTTCCAGCACGTGTTGGCCTATCTACGGGGTACATAAGGTACAGTTTACGTGGTCATCTGAGGGGTGGGGGATGATAAAGGTCACGTGGCTATACATAAGGGGACACGGTGTCACTCTGCTACTCGGGGTTAACCTGAGGACTCTTCCACCTCAAACATTCATCACATTTTCTATTTTTTTTTATTTATTATCAGTTACAAATTTTCAACCAATACCTTACAAAAATGTCGAACTATTTGGACCGAACTTTTTTGCAGAGCTGTTTTTTTTATTTTGTATACTTAGCTCTTGGGTCTTTTTTTATATATCCTTAGCTTTTAACGCTTTTACACTTTTTTACATTCCTAGCTTTAAATTTTTTTACACTGCTGTTTTACATACTTCATTTTAGCTTTTTAATGTGAATTTTTTTTACACTCTTAGCTTTTTAACTTTTTTTACATTCTTAGCTTTTAACTCTTTTACACAAATTTTCTTACATTCCCAACGTTTAACTCAGATCACCTGAAGATACTGCACTCCTGCTTACTTCACCATAAGGTTAACTACCCTAACACTAACCAAACCTAACCTCACTCCCCCAGATAGTGTTAGGGTGGTTAATCTTTAGGTCAGTCAATTAGGTCAGTCAGTTAGGTTAGTCAGTTAATAGCCACTGTTTACCTTACCTGTTAATGTCACTTGTATAATTATTCAACCATCAATAACACCTCGCATGTGTTACAATACAACACTAATGAATAAATTCTTAATAAATACATTACCTTCATCATCTCTACTATGTTGTAACACGAATACATTCTTAATACAGTTCATAATACATCGTTAATACACAATATACACATAAATACAATATACAGTTAGGAGACAGCTTCTATCTGAATAATAACAGGTCAAATGGGCCCCAACCTAACCTAACCACCGGGGCCCAATAGGACTGAGGCCTCTTAGAAATGGGCTCTCTTAATAACTGGCTCCTCTTAGCGCTGGGGCCCAGTAGGACTAGAGCCCATTTGACCAGACACTAATCTAAGAATGTGTTAGGAATTCAAATACAAATAACGTCTTTTGTACAATACATTAACTATTTCTTGACTACAGAGTATAACCATCTGACAACCTTAAGCACCAATATTCACCTGGATTGGATATATTATACAGTATTAGATATATAAATAATAAAGTACCCCATCCAGGTGAATATTTATGTGTACTATATAAAGGTTATCTTTTAAAAGGATCATAAGTGACATGACACTAAGTGATATTTGATTCCATAAAACATACAATTTACCTCTCCTATACACACACACGAACCCCCGAGAGAGTTTTAAACCATCTCTGAACTCCTTATATGACCCTTCTAAAAGGATATTCACCATAAATTGACACCAAATCGATGTCATATATATATCAAAACAGACGTTATTCATATCTTCGTATGCCACAACGCCTCCTAGCGGTATATATACATATGAAACTTAAAGGCACTTGACACTATTAGAAAAACAAGCCACTTTAATACTTATAAATTTGAAGCTAGAGTTACTTAGCACTTTAATACGGACATAGCGAGCAAAGTGAATTACGCTCATGCTCTGTGCTGGTGCGTGAATCATTGATGAGTCTTATCTGACAGTGTATGTATCACCAGTGCTACATTCTCTCTCCACACGGGGGAATGAAGGAAGGAAGAGGTTGAGGAGTGAAAGAAGAGGTTGAGGAGTGAAAGAAGAGGTCGAGGAGTGAAAGAAGAGGATGACGAGTGAAAGAAGAGGTTGAGGAGTGAAAGAAGAGGTTGAGGAGTGAAAGAAGAGGTTGAGGAGTGAAAGAAGAGGTTGAGGAGTGAAAGAAGAGGTTGAGGAGTGAAAGAAGAGGATTGAGGAGTGAAAGAAGAGGTCGAGGAGTGAAAGAAGAGGATGAGGAGTGAAAGAAGAGGTTGAGGAGTGAAGAAGAGGATGAGGTGAAGAGAGAGGATGAGGAGTGAAAGATTGAGAGTGGATGAGGAGTGAAAAAAGAAGGGGATGAGGGAGTGAAAGAAGAGGGATGAGGTGAAAGAAGAGGGTTGAGGTGAAGAGATGAGGTGATGAGGAGTGAAAAGAAGAGGTTGGGGAGTGAAAGAAGAGGATGAGGAAGAGTGAAAGAAGAGGATGAGGTGAGAAGAGTGAAAGAAGAGGATGAGATTGAAAGAAGAGGTTGAGGTGAGGAGTGAAAGAAGAGGTCGAGGTGAAAGAAGAGGATGATGAAGAAGAGGAAAGAAGAGGATGAGGAGTGAAAGAAGAGGATGAGGAGTGAAAGAAGAGGATGAGGAGTGAAAGAAGAGGTTGAGGAGTGAAAGAAGAGGATGAGGAGTGAAAGAAGAGGTTGAGGAGTGAAAGAAGAGGTCGAGGAGTGAAAGAAGAGGATGATGAGTGAAAGAAGAGGATGAGGAGTGAAAGAAGAGGTTGAGGAGTGAAAGAAGAGGATGAGGAGTGAAAGAAGAGGTCGAGGTGAAAAGAAGGGATGAGGGAGTGAAGAAGAGGTTGAGGAGGTAGAAAGAAGAGGTCGAGTGAAAGAAGGTCTCGAGGAGTGAAAGAAGAGTTGAGAGTGAAAGAAGAGGATGAGGAATGAAAGAAGAGGTCGAGGTAAGAGAAAGAAGAGGATAAGGAGTAAAGAAGAAGGGGTGAAAGAACGAAAAAAAGGAGAATAAAAAATAAAAGAAAAAGTGAGAAATTAAATACATTAGAGACAGAAAATGCAAAAAAAACTACACACTAAAATATATGGGGAGGGAGGAGGGAGGAACTATGGAACAATTAAGAGTCACCTACATGGAGTGAATGACAACACAAGAGACATATTACTATGGACGTGAAGGAACCAAGATGGACGATACTGGAGTACTACTATATAGATGGAGGAAATAAATAGTAGTTGAGGAGGAGGAGAGGGGTAACTGAAGGAGAGTGTGAAGAAGGAGGAAGATGAAGAAAGAGAGTAAATATGGAGTAGGAGAAGGAGGAAAGAGAGTAAATATGGAGTAGGAGAAGGAGGAGGAGGAAAGGGTAAGTGAGGAGGAAGAAGAGGAAAGGAAAAATAGTTGAGGAGGAGGAGAGGGGTAACTGAAGGAGAGTGTGAAGAAGGAGGAAGATGAAGAAAGAGAGTAAATATGGAGTAGGAGAAGGAGGAAAGAGAGTAAATATGGAGTAGGAGAAGGAGGAGGAGGAAAGGGTAAGTGAGGAGGAAGAAGAGGAAAGGAAAAATGGAGGAGGAGGAAAGGGTAAATGTGGAGGAGGAGGAAAGGGTAAATGTGGAGGAGGAGGAAAGGGTAAATGTGGAGGAGGAGGAAAGGGTAAATGTGGAGGAGGTGGAGGAGGAGGAGGAGGAAAGGCTAAATGTGGAGGAGGTGGAGGAGGCGTGGTGGCTGGATGGCGTTAGTCAACAGAGCGCCGTCAGGTACGAACCGTATAGGGCATCCTCACCTGCCGCAGGCCCTCTGGGTTTGGCGCCCAGGTAAGCGAGATTAACATTAGCCTTGCGACCATCAATTACCGGGTTAGGTTCCTTGATTGCACGTTCTGCCCCAGTCTTATCGGCCATGGTCACCTGTAAAGGGCAAGAGATATAATTATTAGAAACATCTAAAGATCATTCAATTCAGAGAGGTTTACAACGTTAACATTGATCTATCTAAAACATTCCTTGTAACATACCTTCAAATTGTGTCGGCGGGGAAAAAAAGACTAAATTGTCCATAGTAACATATTCAAACTGTGTCGGTTAATTAACAAATAAAACTAACCTAAGAAACTGTGCTGGAACTGTTTAAATGTTGATCTAAATATCCACAGACGCATTTGCCCTTGTGTTGTGTCGACATGGTGAACACAGATCTAGAGTAGACCATCACAGTATGGTATTATTGTTGGAACCTCTGTGTATGTATGTATGTGTGTGTGTGTGTGTGTATGTGTGTGTGTGTGTGTGTGTGTGTGTGTGTGTGTATCGGATCACAACCTAACCTAACCCAATCAATAGGACTAGGTTAGGGCCCAGAAGTACGAGGCATTATATACCATTATATACAGTAGTTTTTTATCACTAGTGCTGCGCCTGTTGTCATTGTGGGGGTAAAACAGAATTAAAACTCACACATTTAAAACAAGTTTGGTTTAACAGTGATTCTCAAATACTGTCTGTACGTGATATTAACTGTTGACCGTATGGGGACAGTCATGGCTCCCTCACCGTAAAAAACAATATCAATCAATCAGTCAGGAAAGACGTGCATTGGGCTGACTAACGCAGTCCCCAAAAATTCGCTACATCCAAAAGCCATTTCGAAAACAAAAATATAAAGCGACAATATTCTCAAAAATACAGAAAATGAAGAGAGAGAATTGGTGCATCACGAGTGAGAGACAGTGATGGGAGACAGGAGATATCTCACGGGTGAACAAGGTGTAAGAGAAGAAAATTAATTAAGGAATAATAATATCTCACAAACGAACATCACACAAGAGAAGGAAGAGAAGAATAAAGAAGAAGAATAAGCAATACAGGAGGAAAAATAAAGAGATGGCTGTCACACACACATTTGACCTATCTCTCTGAACAGTTTCATCAAAATACAACCAAGTAGTAAGTTCCACCAAGGATTAACAAAGTTCCACCAGTAAAACAAGTCGTAACATTAACTACAAACAAGAGGAAGGCGTCGCTGGAATGGAAGCTCAGGGCGAGACACCGACCATCCTCTCTTCTCAACCTGCCGTAAACTTGCCGGAGTCGGATTACGATCCCGGGTAATCCGAGCTGCTACGCCAACACCGCTGGCTAAAGTGTCCCCATCCCGGGGATTACTGCAAATGGCCAGTGTTGGTCAAATACCACGACCATAACCGCTAAGTCATTTAACTTTTTTTTTAACCTGATGATACGAACTTAACCTAAGCTAATGACACCATGCAGAATGGTTTTGGTTTGGTTAGGTTTTATTGGGTTTGATTAAGCTACATTGATTCAGTCCGTCAAAAATATAATGGTTTTAGCGGTCATACTCGTGGTACTTTCTTAACATATCTTGCTGTATGTTATGGATGTACTGTACATTTTTAGTACAGATAAATATAAGAAGTTTTTAAATATACACATTTAGGTTAAAGTAACACCTCCAAGATCTTTTCATCATGTAAGTCATTAAACTTAAACTGTCTTCCTATATGAGATCACCTGAAGAATCTGTACCCCAGCTTATGTCACCTAAAGATTAACCACCCTAACACTCTTTGGGTGAGTGAGGTTAGAGTAGGTTAGATTAGGTTAGGTTAGGTTAGGTAAAGTTAGGTTAGGTTAGGTAAGGTTAGGTTAGGTAAAGTTAGGTTAGGTAAACTTAGGTAAAGTTAGGTTAGGTAAAGTTAGGTTAGGTTAGGTTAGGTTAGGTTAATCTTTACGTGAAATATGCTGGGGTGCAGATTCTTCAGGTGATCTCCTATATATGTGGAGCAAAATAACTTCCAACAGATAAAAGGCAACATCTACTCTATACTGATGGCAGAATAGTAAACATTAAACGCTTGTCTTATTTATCCGTCCGTCCGTCCGTCTACTCTGTACTTTTGTGCTTGAGTGTGTGTGTGTGTGTGTGGGTTTGTGTGTGTGTGTGTGTGTGTGTGTGTGTGTGTGTGTGTGTGTGTGTGTGTGTGTCCGTCCGTCCGTGTGTGCTAGAGCGTCCGTCCGTCCATTTGTGTGTTTTGTGTGTGTGTGTGTGTGTGTGTGTGTGAAGGACCATCGTCCGTTGTACAAACAAACAAGTTTCACATGTGTTCAAAACGAAGTGATTTTGCTTACGTCACTCTGAATCCACACTTGTATTAACGTTTACGTGTATGTATAGATCACACACACACACACACACACACACACACACACACACATGTTACGCCTAATTGAAAACCTTGGAGCTACGACTCAATTATTTATGAATTCACATTACATGAACCAACCAAACCTAACCTAACTTGTCCTAACAACCAAAAATATTATGATCATTTGGTTAGATTAATTAGGTTAGGTCAGGTCAGGTCAGGTCAGGTTAGGTTAGGCTAGGTCAGGTTAGGTTAGGTTAGGTTAGGTCAGGTAAGGTCAGGTTGTATGCACCGTGAGATTCTAAGATTGGGTAATGTGTCATGATAAAATGCAGTATATATGTGTGTGTGACAATGTATGGTTGACCTGAGTTGAAGACCTGTGCGTCCCTACACTGTGACCTGATACGGCCCCCTCCTCCCCCCTTGTGTGGAAGAAGGGGGGGGGGTGATGGGGGGAGGAGGGGCGACACACGTGGGTGACAGAGCGGGTAATCCTCAGGGCTGTGTGACGACACCTAACACCCTAACCCGTCTCTTTCTATCCGTCTATCTCCTCCTCTTCCTTCCTCTGTCTCTGTCTACCTCCTCCTCCTCCTTCTTCCTCCTCTCTCTACCTGTCTCTCTCCTCCACCTTCCTCTCATTGTCTCTACCCGTCTTTCTGTCTATCTTCTCCTTTCCCCCTTTATCTCCACCCGTCTATCTCCTCCTTCCTGTCACTTAATCTCTAGTTTTCTCTCCTTATCTACCTCCTCCACCCCCTTCCTGCCTCCACCTATCTACGTTTAATCCCAACAGATAAACAAATCACCACACGTCCTTTACACCACTACAATATAAATCATACAAAAATATACATGAACCTTTAAAAAAAAATACAGGGATTGTTTTCATACACCGCAAAATAAAAAATAAATAAATAAATACATAAAATAAATAAAGAAAGAAATAAACTAATTTTTCGACACCCCCACCCCCAAAAAAAATAATGAATAAAAATCATAATAATAATACACAAGACGCGCTTGAGTGACCAACACGAACAGTACAGTATTTTAAGGTCCTGAACACGATAAGGGAAGTCAGTCCAATGAATTTATGGAAATTATCGAGAGGAAGTCATATTTGTGGCGGACGAACACATTCCCCTGATTCAGCTTCACCACGGAGAGCGAACTTTTGTCCGCGACTGTATCTGACTGGACTAACGTAATCTATAGTATACCAACTCTACGTTGACCTATCCTAACCTAACCTGACCTAACCTGACCTATCCTAACCTGACCTATCATAACCCAACCTAACTTGAACTATCCTAACCTAACCTGACCTATCCTAACCTAACCTGACCTATCCTAACCTAACCTGACCTATCCTGACCTATCCTAACCTGACCTATCATAACCCAACCTAACTTGAACTATCCTAACCTAACCTGACCTATCCTAACCCAACCTAACTTGAACTATCCTAACCGAACCTGAACTATCCTAAACTAACCTGACTTAACCTAATGTATCTCAACGAACTCGGAGTAAAGCAACGTAACCCAATCCCCAGTTAGCTTAACCTAAGCCTGTGTTAACCTACTTAGCATGTGAGTGTTGGTTGCGAAGTAAGTACATGACCCCTTTAACCTAATATAACTTAACCTGAACTATCCTAACCTAGCCTAACCTAACCTAGCCTAACCTAACCAAACCAAACCTGAACTATCCTATCCTATCCTGACCTAACCAAATCAAACCTGAACTATCCTATCCTATCCTAACCTAACCTAACCACACCTAACCTAACCGGGCAAAATACTAACCACCGTTAACCCTGGATAAAATATTCACCTCCCTTAACACTAGACATAATCTCCACCTATCCCAACCTTGGACAACATACCTACCAATCATCCCTGGACAAAATATTCACCAACCCCATCGCTGGACAAAATGGACCCTCTTTAACCTTGGACAAAATCCCCTCACCTTCTCCCGAGCCAAGCATAATATTACCCCCGTCACCCACAACGCCTCTAAGTCGTCTACAAGGTCAGTTTCAGTCAAGATGGCCAAGATCCCCCGCCGTGTCACATCAAATTCCTAGGATACAAAATAGCCAAAACACTTGACAATAATGATACAAGATATTAAAAACATCTCCCAAGTTCGTACAGTATATTACTAGGAGTTAATGTCTTTATTTGCAACACTTGAATGAACGAACGGACAGAAACACAAGACAAGCTGGTGGAGAATGGGTTATATGGTAAAAATTTGCTGTTATTTTAAGTTAATGTAAAAGTTTACTTTTTGATGCCAACTTGAAGGTTGGAACATAAACAACAATTTTAGTCGAAGTGGACAGCGATCAAACCCCACGCCCCCACCCCCATGGCGGTACGTGGGCAGTTAACCCTCCTCCTCCCACGCGGGGTAATCTATTTAAACGGCTATAACTATTTAATGGATTACTCTGATTAAACATATTAGGTACCTGAATTCTTCTTGGGGAGAGGAAACTTTTATGTTCTATGCATATATTACAGGTCGCCATTCTGAAATAAAAAGATCAACGTCTTTATTCTCTCTTTCCAAGAACAGGTTGTGAAGAAAATTATAAACTTTGAATTGTGTATCCCGTGGCAAAAGAAAACAGACGAAAAACTTGTGTGTCCTTTCTCAAATCCCACAGCTACCCGCGGAGAGAATGCTTACAAAATAATAAGAGCCTTGCCCATCAGTTCA